CCTCCTTTCTCCTTTGGTAACCATAAGTTTGTTTTCTATGTCTGTGAGATCACTGATCTTTTTCTAGTCTCCATAATTTTGCCTTTTCCAGAATGTTATATAGTTGGAATCACACAGCATGTGCCTTATCAATTTGGCTTCTTTCACTTACTGATATGCATTTAAGGTTCCTCCATGTCTTTTCATGACTTGGTAGCTCATTTCTTTTTATTGCCGAGTAATATTCCGTTGTCTGAATGGACCATGGACCACAGTTTATTTTTCCATTCATTTTCTGAAGGACATCTTGGTGGCTTCCAAGTTTTGGCCATTATGAAAAAAGCTGATGTAGACATCTGTGTGCAGGTTATTTTTCTGTGGGAGGAAGTTTTCACCTCTAGATGGGCAGTTTCATGAGGTCACTTTGGATGGGCTGGCTGCAGTAGGAGGAGCTTAGGCAAGGTATGGTTCCTTCAAAAATGCTTCTGGTGGGATGCAGCCCTAGAAGGGGGACAGGGGTACCTTGATGGTGGCCTGAGCATGGAGGCTCTCCTGGTGGGCTTCATCCAAGGCCTTCTCCCTGTCTTGACCACCTTCACCAGGCTCCAATCCACCCCTCACTGCAGCCTCTTGATGCCTGGAGGTCTTTTTCCCTCAATACAGTTAAGGAGGCAGAATTGGAGGCCTCTGGGTTCTGGCATGGAGACAACATGGATTTGGTGGGGGGAGGGTGTATCTCAAATGGTAAAGTGTGCGCTTAGCATTCATGAGGTCTGGGGTTCAATCCCCAGTACCTCCACTTAAAAATATGAATAAACAGATCTAATTACCTCCCCCTACACCTGCAAAAAAAAAGAAAAGAGAAGAGACAATGTGGACTCAAGCCCCAACTTTGCCACTCACGGGGACCTGTGTCTTCTTCTGCAAGATTGGGTGATAGTAGGGTCTACCTCCACCAGGGTTGGGTGACATTTCCAATGGAGACCCAAGTGGAAAATGTTAGTTACACAAGCAGTGACTTGAGCACGGCAGCCATCATGATTTCTATTAGGAAAGAGCTGCTTTTCTCCAGACCCCACTGTTAGGTGGATCGGAGTGGGTAGGGGATAACAGAGACTACTCGTCTTCGCCTGCATCATATCCAGATTCTACCCCAGGCTCTTGGTGAACCCACAGGGTCCAGCGCTCAGACCTGGCTCTGGTCAGCCAGGTGCTGCAGGGTCGGGCTCTCAGAGCACAAGCCATTGGGGATGCTGTGACGAAGTGTCACCCAAACCTGGGAAGGCCTGTGACAGGGTGAGAGCAGTTAGGCATTGGAGCTGACTCCTCACTCCAGTCTCCTTGAGCCCCAACATTTAGTGATTTCCAGCTCCAATGTTCCTTGGAATTGGGGAGACCCAAGAAACACAGGACTCCTTCCTCCTTAGAACGAGTAATAATAGTTGTGGTTCCAGCTTCTGTGTATTGCATGGCTCCTCTGTGCTGGACACATACGTGTATCATCTCATTTCATCAATCATTTATTTCACAAATGTTTATCGAGGGACTGCTGCTGCTGGGCCCTGTTCTAGCAAGGGAGAGAGAGTAAACACGGCTGTCAGAGGAGAAACATACCTGATTATGGATTACAGAGGAAGAGGAGGATGGGGCAGGGAGTCAGGAGGGCTGGAGGAGGGACCTGGGCCAATGTGCAACTCCCTCAAGTGCCTGCCTGAATCAGAGTTGGGCTCCAGGGTTGGGGCTTCAAGAGTAAACCACAGGAACCCCACGAACACGTGTGTCTTGTGCCTGAAGTTGTACCTAACTGTTGACTAAACCATAAGCTCTTTGAGGCAAGGGCTGTGCCTGGCTGCATGGTGGTCCCCCCACAGTAGGAGCTGTCAGAGGCCTCTTGATACCAACTGGCTCAACCTGATGAGGTGGGAGGGGAATGAGGCCCAAGGAGGGTTTGATATGAAGCTGCATATTATAGGTTGAATAGTGTCCCCCAAAGACTCATGTTTACCTGGAATCTCAGAATGTGACCTTATGTGGAAACAAAGTCTTTGCAGATGTCATTAGTTAAGATGAGGTCATGTTGGCCTGAGATGGATCTTAAATCCAACATGACTGGTTTCTTTATACGAAGAGGGGAGGGTACACATACGCATGCGCGCGCGGACACACACACACACACACACACACACACACACACACACTTGCACACATGCATGCAAAGAGGGAAGATGGTCCCGGAGCCAGAACTTGGAGTATGCAACTATAAGCCAAGGAACTCCAAATCCAAGGATTGCTGGCAACCACCAAAGGCTAGAAAGACACAACGAAGGATTCTTTCCTTGAGCCTTTGGAGGGAGCACTGCGCAGTCAACATCTTCATTTCTGACTTCTAGCCTCCAGAATTGTGAAAGAATGAATTTCCAGTGTTTAAGCTACCCAGTTAGCAGTACTTTACCACTCCTGAGAAACACACTTGCTTAGGGGTCACCCAGGAGGGAGTAATCACCAACACTCAAATCCAGTTCTTCCTTTCCCCACGAATTTTTATTAGTAAATTAATTGCAAATGCAGAAGGTTACGGGTGAGATCATATCATCCATACATTAATGAATCCAGAAAATATTCATTCAGTGTTCATGTCAGGGAGTGTCCTAGGTACAGGGACATACAGTTTATTGGGGAAGGCCAGGAAAAAAAAAAAAAGACAGTAGATCGGATGGTGCTAAGAGCTATGGAGAAAAATAACACAGGATAAGGGCAAGTGTAGGTATGTACAAGTGAGGACGGGGAGGAGGTCATGCTATCGTCTGCAGGGTGCGCAGGGACCAGCTCTCTGACAGGTGGTTTCTGAACACTGCAGGCAGTGCGACGGCACATGCAAAGGCCTGTAGGAGGCGAGTGCTGCGCCAGCAGGAGGAGGCCCGCGTGGCCGGAAAGGGGCGTGCAGAGGGCAGAGAAGCGGGACATGAGGGCAGAGAGCAAGCAGGGGCCACTCCCGGACCTCCCAGGCTCACCCCACGCCCTAGTGGGGCTTGGCAGCGCGCCGCACTCAACATGGCGGCCGCAGGGACCCGCCCGCGGACGAGCGGAAGTGCGTGTCGGCGAGCGCCGGAAGTGGCGGGCGGCCCCGCCTTCTGCCCGGGTCTGTGTGGAGCTGAGGGCCCGCCGGCTTTGAGCATCCCTGGCCCGCCAGGCGGGAGGTCCCGAAGCTGTGGCACCGGAGGCCGAGACTCGGCGCGCTCCCGACATGGCCAGCTCAGGAGAGGTACGGCCGGCACATGTCTCCCCTCTCCTCCCTGTCTGGCTGCCTCGGCCGGAATCGGTCGTCCCCACCTCGATCCCGGTCCCCCTGCGTCCTTCCGTCCCGCCCCCTGCCCCGGTCCATCCTTCCCGTCCGGACTTCGGCCTGGCTCTGTTCTTCCCACCTTGACCTCTTTCCTGCCGCCGCTCGGTCCTTCCTACTGCGACCCTGGCGTCGGCCTGGTTTGGTCCTTCATGCCCCAACCCCGGCCTCGGCTTTGGCCGGTCCTTCCCATCCCAAACCTGGCCTTGTCCCCTGCCCCATCCTTACCCCATCCTGCGCCTCAGGACCTGACCTAGTATCTGAAGGCACAAGCTCTCTCAGCCTTCCGTTTTCCAGACATTCCCCAGTTCCGAATTCCTGATCATCAGACTTCTCCCCACTCCCCCCCTTCCCCGGAGTTTCCAGGCTGCTGTGGGCCACTCAGGCCCTTTCCCCATACCCCTGTGCTCAGCCCTTGGAGCTCTGAGACGTTCTTCCTCCCTGCCGGCTTCACACTGCATCCTCCTTCTCTGAATGTTCAGTGTCAGTCCAGCCCACTTTTCTCTGAGCCTGCTTGTGTAACTTGAGGGAGTAGTGGAGGAAAAGCCATTTCAGCTGGAGGACTTATGACTTACCCTGAATTTCTCCCCCAATGCTCTACAAATGTGGTCCGGTGGAGAATCCGACTGGGTTCCTGTAATGTGGTGCAAGGTATATTCTCTGCAGACCAGGGAGTGGGGGATCTGGACTCTTGACTGGGGCCTTTCCTTTTTGTTGCTTCCCACCTACCTCTTTGTGTACCTGTGTGCACTTGTGTTTATGTCTATCATTTGAGACTCAGACCGTTGAGTGTACTTCCTAAGTCTTAGGGGCCTGCCTGCCTGTGCTCTAGGGAATAGGGGTGAAGGGGGTATGGCTATGTGGAAGGTGGCTGGGGTTGCTGACAGATCTTCTTTATTTGAAGGAGATTCGGCCCCTTGATTGAGGGGGAGGGTAAGGGGTCCACCCGCATGCTGGTGGTAGGATCGAAGGGTCAGAGTATCAGCTCCCTGAGGAAGAGTCCTGGTGGGTAGCCTCCCTGTGTTAGCAGATTCTGTTCCGTTGCATGTGCTTGAGGGGAGGGCGTGCTGACTGGTACCTTGGTCTTATGGGGTCCTGGCGCCAGGCCCCTCTGTTCCTAGAAGCACATATTGGGGACCTGGCCAGTGAGGCCTCTTGTTGCATCGTGAGTGTCTGTCTCTTGGCTTGAGAGGAGAGAGGGGAGTCTTGTTCAATCCTGGATGTGGAGATCAAAGTCCCTTTTTCTGGGATAATCTAATTATGGCTTGACTGAGGTATAGTTTGCATACCATAAAGTTTGCACTTTCATGGTGTATAATGCAGTGGTTTAAAAAAATATATTTGCAACCATTTCCACTTCCAGAATGGGGTGGACTGATTTTAAAAGTCCTTGCTGGCTTTAAAGTTCAGGTGCCCAGAACAACTCCCTGAGTCTGAGGAGCTGGGCTCTGTGTTTTTAATAGCACTCTAAATGATTCTTAAGCAGTGCTTCATTGACCCCTAGTTCAATGCCTCTTGGGCATTAAAAGGTGATCTCTGTTCTGGCGCCCTTCCTGGCCTGGTGAGGAGATAAGCAAGCAACAGACCAGTACAATTCACCTGGTGAGGCGGGGGCGTGGGCAGGAGGGTACCTGGGGCAGTACCAGGGGGAGGGGGAGGGGAGGAGGAGGAGGAGGAGGGGTTGAGTGTGGCTGGGGGATGCTGTAAGGGCTTTGCCAGGGAGGGAGCGTTTGAACTGAAGTTCTGAGAGCAGCAGTTGGCCTTGTGTGGTGGCATGTCTGCTGGTGGGAACAGCTTGAGCCGAGTCTTGGAGGTCTGAGTGCTGTGTACCAGGGGACATTCTGGAAGATGCCAACTCGAGTAGCAAAGACTTAAGGGGACAATATGAGAAGCGTCCTTCAGGTCGCTCCTGTGACTAAAAAAATTACAACGTAAAATTCCACATACTTGCCAAAGAGTGGTGTGATGAACCTCTGTGTACCCATTGCCCAGTTTTAATAGTTAACAGGTGATCAATCTTGGTTCACTTGTGACCTTCCCACCTCCCCCCACCCCCTGGATTATTTAGAGCACATCCCAGACACCTCGTCAGTTGATATGTGAATCCTGTGATTTCTTTTGGTGCCTGACCGGTAAACAGTTAGTTGGTAAACACCTGGGAGGTTTTTTTGGGGGGGGGAGTACCTAGGTTTCCATATTTAATTTTGCTTAACTTTTAAAAAAAAATTGTGAAATGTTACACAGCCTAAAAAAGTATGTAAAACACAGTTGATCGAATAACTAAACGCTTTGAACCCCTACTCTTCAGGCCTTTTTCAACTGTCATCCTGTTCTAGCCAGATTGTTCCCCTCTGGGCCGATAAATATCACCTGGCCCTGAAGTGGAATTTCCGAAGACTCCAGGAAGTGCTTGGCTGGGCCTTGCAGGAAGCCCCAGCGGCCCTTTCCTGGTGGTGGTGGGAAGGGCACGCTCAGGCTCAGCTGTTCAGGCTGTGCCTTGAGTGATGCTTGCTCTCTGACCTCGGGCTGCTTACCTCATTGTTTTAAAGATGGAGAGTGAGTCTGCTTTGGTTTCCCTGGTAGCTGAGAACACGTCACCTGAGAGACAGAGGGAAGCAGTGACAGGTGTGTTTAGGTGCATGTGGAGGTGGGCGTTGGCTGGACCACATTTTTGTTTCACTGATGAAGAAGCTCTGAGGCCTCTCCCCTCCTTCCTGGTGGGGGCTCCTGGTTTGCTGTTGCCTCTCCAGAGCCTGCTGCCTTTCCTGGGGGGAAGGTGCACTGTCTCAGATGAAGCCTCGGTTTCAGTGGAAAGACTCAACTGTCGCAAACCCAGCATCCTGGGTCCTCCTGGAATCTGCGGTCGGGAGACCAGGGGAACCAGAATCACCTGCCGCCTGGGCAACTGTTCCTCTCCCAGGCCCGCGACCCTGGAGTGCCTATCCCAGCCAGGGGGTGTCTGGCCTCAGGACAGCACTGGGGCACAGCATGTGGGAAGAAATGATTTGGTGGGAGGTGCTGAGACTGGACAGAAGGAGCTGGAACACAACTTTTTTTTTTTTAATTCTTGTAATTTCTAGATGGTTTTAAGAGAAATTCAGTATTCCACAGTGTACCTGTGGAAATTCTGTGATGCTGGAATTTCTTGGAGTGTTTTGTCCTGTGTTCTCTTTGTTCTGCAGTGGCATTCTTACGTTGACAGATCTGTTTATTGGGGTCAGAAGAAGGTAAGCCTCAAGCTGCTCAGTGGAATTCAGGCCCAGCCACTCCCTCTTGTCACCAGGAGCTGTGTACACCAAGCTGGCCTGATAAGGGTCTCCCCTGGTTCCAGTTTCTCTCTCTCTCTCTGGAGTCCCTTGGGTTAGGGTGGGGTCTGGGAATCTGATTTTTAACAGGTGCCTGGGGGTGATGCAGATGGTTGGGTCTGGGTAATTTCTCAGGAAAGTCACTTATGGTTGGAAACACTAGATGCAGAATCCAGTGGCCCAGGGGCAGCTGTGGACTTGGGTCTGATGACTGACTTCTGCCCCCATAAAGGTGGGAGGAGGGAGATAGGGTCGAGGGCACATCAGATGGAAGGGGAGAAGGGAAATCACGCTGCCTGCTGCGTCTTTGGAAGAAGGGAGAGTAGGGAGGGTTGGTGCTGTTGAAGAGGTGGGCGGTATTCATGGACACCTTTTCCTGGCCTGGCGAGGGTTTGGCTGGATGCAGAGCCTGCAGGGTTGTCACAGTCAGAGTTCCCGGGAAACCCCTGGTGCCTGAGTGGGGTGTGCAGACAGGCCCTTCCTCCCCAGACATCACTGTTGTCATGGAAGCAGCAGGGCTCTCCAAGCCTCCACACTTCCATCCCTGCAAATATGTACGAAAGAAGAGGCAGACAAGGGCTTATGGACATAGTTATTGGAAAAGGCAGTAGAAAGGGTTCTGGGCAGGTAACTGAGTTCAGGCTCGTACTGCTCACCCCATGACAGGCCAGTTAATCGAGGAACAAGTATTTGGTGCAAGGAATAGTGACTTTATTCGGAAAACCAGCGGACTGAGAGGATGGTGGACAGTGTCCCCCCAAAACCATCTTGCATGAGGTAGAATTCAGACTTCTTTTATACTAAAATGGGTGGGAATAAAGTCAAACATTTCCTGTTTCTGGTAAGCCTCCCAGAGAGGATGTTAATTTCATCCTTCCTGCAGCCTTTCCCAAGTGGTCCTGGTCAGGATGTTTCCTATGCGCTAAACAAAGGTACTTTAGCTTAATGCTCATGTTCTGGGAGGCAGGGTTCCCAGAGATGAGCCATTATGTATAATTTGTGCTTATAGGGAGCAAGATTAATTCGTAGCAAAAGCAATAGAATACAACGTCAAAGTGAAAGAAACAGCTCCAATATGGAGTCAGGGTTGTTTTTCCCTATTACAGGCACGCTTCTTGGAGTGTCAGAGAGGCACCCCTTCAGTGAGGACACCTTAGAGGCAGGAGAATCCCTTTCGTGGGGTATTGGGAAGATACAGGGCTTCCTCCCTCCATGGGCTCTTCCTAGGGTATCCCAGTGCCTTTGGCCTTGGCTTGGGGATTTCCTGTCACACTGACATAGGTCAAGCCCCCCTCTCTCTTGGTTGTACAAGCCACTGACCCATAGATTTCTGCCCACATTAGGGCAGAAAACCTTTTGCAGATTCTGCAAAAGCAAAATGAAACAATAAGATGCATGGACGTCTTCTTGGAAATATCAGCACAAGTTTCTAATCAGAAAGTGGTAGGTGGAGATCAGTTGTGCCATCTCTATTGTTTGTTACTAATCTTAAGACTGAAAAATGTCATTGGTCCTGTGCATGCTGCTGCTTGTTTCTAAGGACTTGATAGTTTCACATTCTGTGATGGTTCCTCTCATTGCTAATGACAGGGCTGAAAAGAGCTACTGTTCTGAGGACCTGATACACAGTAACTCATTATTCATCACAGTAGCCCTGGGAGGTGAAGACACTGCTACTATTGGTAAAGACCCTTTATCATTGTTTCTTCTTGGAATTCACCTACCTAAGGGTTTGAAACAGCAAACAGCCTGACATTTGGGGCAGAGTTCGTGGATAGCAGCTTCCAGAGACTGACAGCCTTGGCTAGTGGTCATAAGTTGTTGGAAACCTGCCAGACTTGAGACCTGCAGTAGGAAAAATCCCTTTTAAATTTCAAAAATTTTTTTGAGATTTCATTTCAGATCTCTTACGTTTGAAGAGAGCTCCTGGTGTGCAGATGGAAAAGGGGCTTTTGAAGAATGTGCTGGGTTCTTGGCCTGCAGCTACGAATTTTGGTGAAAGCCCCGTCTTTCCCACAGGCTGCAGGGAGGGCTTCTCTTGGCTGCGAGCTGCCCTTGGGGATCCCGTGGGAACTCGGTGTCCCTTGTTTGCAGGACGTGTCCAACGATGGCGATGTGCCCCCTGCTGCAGCCTCAGTGGCGGACGACGCCCACCTGCTGGGCTTCTCGGATGAGATCCTCCTGCACATCCTGAGCCACATCCCCAGCACAGACTTGGTTCTGAACGTCCGGCGCACCTGCCGGAAGCTAGCTGCACTGTGCCTGGACAAGAGCCTCACCCACACGGTGCTGCTGCAGAAGGACTACGAGGTGAGCTGGCGCGGGCGCAGGCAGTGGGGAAAGAGCATAAATTTTTAATTTTGGTGAAGCCCAATTTATTGAATTTTTGAGTGCATGCTTTTTGTATTCTGTTGAAGAAATCATGAAACCTGGAATCATGATTTTCTCCTTTGTTGTCCTCTTCTTTTTCTTTTTAAATAACATTATCTTAGTTTCAGGTGTACAACATAATGGTTTCATGTCTGTATACACTGCAAAATGATCTCCACGTCAGTCAACATCTGTCACCTTATATAGTTACAACATTTTTCTTCTTGTGATGAGAACTTTTAAGAGCTTCTCTTACAACTTTCAAACATGCAATATGGTCACGAGGCCCTACATTACATCCTCAGGACTTACTTATTTTATAACTGGTATTTTGTACTTTTTGACCTCCCCTCCCCCCATTAGTTCTCTAGATCTATGAGCTCAATTTAAAAAATTTTTTCTTTTTTATTGAAGTATAGTTGACTTACACTATTATTATTAGTTTCAGGTATACAATGTAGTGATTTGATATTTTTGTTGGTAACACACCATCGAAAGTTCTCTATTTCCTGGCAACGCTTGTTATCTCTTGTCATCTTTTTTTTTTTTTAATGGAGGTACTGGGGATTGAACCCAGGACCTCATGCATGCTAAGCAGGCGCTCTACCCCTGAGCTGTACCCTCCCCTCCCCCGCCCGGTCTTCTTGAAGATGGCCGTCCTGACAGGTGTGAGGTGATATCTCATTGTGGTTTTGATTTGCATCTCCCTGAGTCATCAGTGATGTTGAGCATCTTCTCATGTGCCTGTTGTCCATATGGATGTTTCTTTGGAAAAATATCTGTCAAATCCTCTACCCACTTTTTAATTGGATTGCTTTTTGCTGTTGAGTTGTGTGAGTTCTTTATGTCTTTTAGATATTAGCGCTTTATCAGATATGTCTTCTTCCGTTTGGTAGGCTGCCTTTCACTTCACTGATGATTTCCTCTGCTCGGCAGAAGCTCTTTAGTTGGATGTAGTTACACTTGTTTCTTTGTGCTTTTGTTGTTTTTGGTGTCAGATTTTAAAAAATTATCACCAAGACCGAGGTCAAAGAGCTTACTGCTTATGTTTTCTTCTAGGAGTCTTGTCTTTAATCCATTTTGGGTGAATTCTTGTGTGTGGTGTAAGATAGGGGGCCAGTTTCATTCTTTTGCATGTGGCTGTCCAGTTTTTCCAGCACCCTCCTATGTTGAGTTATGGAAGTGTATAGTTTTAGGTCTTACAGTCAGTCTGTGATCCTTTTGTGTTCCTCTCCGTGTGTGCTGTGGGGTCAGGGTGAGGCTCACTTTTTTGCACATTTGCTTGTCACTCCTAGCACCATTTACTAAAAAGATGATCCTGTCATTGAATTTTCTGAAGCCTTGGTTGAAAAGTCAATTGAGGACATATCTTTAAAGATAAACAGAGACCTGGGCAGAAACTCATATTTTAGGAGACTGGTTCCCACTGTTGTTTCTGGTTGTGAAGCGGTGCCTTTGACAGGCAGCACAAGGCCCCTGGGGGCTCTGGCTCTTTCTGCAAGAGCGTTGTGCTCCTTCCTCACAGGGGGGCTGTGCTTGCCCCCTAAAGCGCCGAGGTCAGGCTTCTTGCCCACAGGGATTCTTTCCTGGAGAGGAGGGGGCAGGTACCAGAGCAGTCTGTCTGGAGCTTCAGAACATGTGTGCCTCGCCTGCACCGTTCCCGTGCGTGTTGGCCGTAGAGAAGGGGTCAGATGCACGAATCTCGCCGGTGTCTATGGATGCTTGATGCTGTGTTGTCTGTGGGTCGTGCTGCCAGGCCCCTGACTGGCCGTGCGTGGCCCCTCGGCAGTCCAGGCCAGGTTTTTGAGGCACATCTGATGATGTAAAAGTGCATGTGATGTGAAGGAAAACAACAACCAAAAAGCAAGCTTCCAGGGTGTGATTCCACTGGGTGATGTTAAAAAACCCTGCGTGACATGAAACTTACCATCTCAACCGCTTTTAAGAATACAGTTCCGTAGCCTGAAGGGCATTCACAGTGGTACACAACTGTCACCGCTATTTCTGAAACTTTTTTTTAAATCACGCTAAATAGAGACTCTGGAACTGTTAAGCAGCAAGTCCTATTCCCCTTTCCCCAGCCTCTGGGAGCCTCTGTTCTCCTTTCTGGTTCTGATTTGGCCTATTCTGGATATTTCATATATGTGGAATCATGCAATATGTAATCTTTTAATTTTGTTTTTTTTGGCGGGGGAGGTAATTAGGTTTACTTCTTTATTTTTAGGGGAGGTACTGGGTATTGAACTCAGGACCTTGTGTATGCTAAGCACGCGCTCTACCACTGAGCTGCACCCTCCGCCCTACAGTACGTGATCTCTGTGAGTGACTTCTCTGAGGGAGCATCATGCCTTCAGGGCTCATCCCCGTCGTAGCCGTGCCAGGACTTAGTCCCCTTCCTTGCTGAGGAGAGTCTCCCTGTGCGGGTGGGCCCCATTTCCTTTATCTGTTCATCTGCTGATGGACTGCTGGGCTGTTTCCACCTTTCGGTTACTGTGAACAGTGCTGCCGAGAACACGGGGTACAGGTGTCTGTCTGAGTCCCTGCCATCAGTTCCCTTGGGTACGCACCTGGCTGTGGAATTGCTAGGTCACATGGTGACTCCACGTTTAGCTTTTCAAGGAAGCATCAGACTTTTCCACTGGGTCCATCTTCCATTCCCTCTTGGCCGGGGCTCTTGACTGTCTGCTGAAGGTAAGCACGTGGCGGGGGACAGAGGCGCCAGCTCTGCCCTCCAGTGTCCCTCCTCAGCTGGGCCCCTCGCGACTCCCTGCCCATGGTGGGGGAGGGTGCGACCTGAGGGGGTGAGATGGAGAAGACACCAGTGCCTTCAGCCTGCCTCCCCGTCCCCATCCTGCAGGCCAGTGAGGACAAGGTCAAGCAGCTGGTGAAGGAGATCGGCCGGGAGATCCAGCAGCTCAGCTTGGCTGGCTGCTACTGGCTGTCAGGCTCCACCGTCGAGCATGTGGCCCGCTGCCGTGGCCTGGTGAAGGTGAACCTCTCGGGCTGCCACCTGACCTCCCTGCGCCTCTCCAAGGTGCTCTCGGCCCTGCAGCACCTGCGCTCTCTGGCCATTGATGTGAGCCCCGGCTTTGACGCCGGCCAGCTGAGTGGCGAGTGCAAGGCCACTCTGAGCCGTGTGCGGGAGCTCAAGCAGACGCTGTACACGCCCTCGTACGGTGTGGTCCCCTGCTGCACCAGCCTCGAGAAGCTGCTGCTCTACTTTGAAATCCTGGACCGCACGCGTGAGGGCGCCGTGCTCTCGGGCCAGCTGATGGTGGGCCAGAGCAATGTGCCGCACTACCAGAACCTGCGGGTCTTCTACGCCCGCCTGGCCCCCGGCTACATCAACCAGGAGGTGGTGCGCCTGTACCTGGCCGTGCTCAGCGACCGCACGCCCGAGAACCTCCATGCCTTCCTCATCTCCGTGCCCGGCAGCTTCGCTGAGAGCGGGGCCACCAAGAACCTCCTGGACTCCATGGCCCGCAATGTGGCGCTGGACGCCCTGCAGCTGCCCAAGTCCTGGCTCAACGGCTCGTCCCTCCTGCAGCACATGAAGTTTAGCAACCCTTTCTACTTCAGCTTCAGCCGCTGCGCCCTGTCTGGCGGCCACCTGATCCAGCGCGTCATCAACGGCGGGAAGGACCTGCAGAGCCTGGCCAGCCTAAACCTCAGCGGCTGCGTGCACTGCCTGGCCCCCGACTCCCTGCTCCGCAAGGCGGAGGACGACATTGACAGCGGCATCCTGGAG